CAAAACCCCAAAACCCCAAAACCCCAAAACCCCAAAACCCCAAAACCCCTCGAAGTAGATATAATTCTGGATAGTCTAATCGGATTTAAGTATTTAAATAAAGTAAATTTAATACAAAATCTAGTAATTCCAAGTTGTATCAGAATTTTAAAGGAGGATAAGTTTGTAGATGCTCCTTGGGGAAAGTAGGGCTTGGAGTTGTACCTCTGTTTACTGTGTAGGGAAGAGTTCTTGGCATCATATGAATTGCATTTTCTACTGGACAAACAGCATGACATATAGCACATCCAGTGCAATCCTCTTCAACTATCTTAGGGAAAGTATTATAGCCATCAAACTTAATGGCTTAATAGCCTGAGTCTGAACAAGCTAGGTAGCATCTTCCACATTGTAAGCATTTTTCTTCGTTTATGACGGGTGCTTAATACTCAGTCTTGCTCATTTTTTCAATTAATGATACATGATTTAGTTTTGTTCCCACTATTGATGGAATGTATGGTGTAGTGATCTGAGGTTATATCTCTTAAAAAGTGTTGTTTAACTTTTAATAATCATGAGGAGGGTATTGTCCTCTCCATCCTTGGGCATACTTTTCTTTGTCTTATAGCATGTAGAGATGTGCTTGAAGACTAGTTTTCAAATCATAAAATACAGTAGCAGCATCGAGGTTTTGAACTGCTGAGCATATCTGTAATGCTTTAGCACCATATTGAAGGAATGACATGGCATGATCTCCACTAATAATACCACCGCTACCAAATATTTCAATGTCTGGAACATATTTTGCAACATCGGCACATTTCCTTAATGCGAAAGGTCTTAAAACGGAGCCTGTTGTACCACCTGATGAGTATTGCTTAGCACTACCTACAGGTAAGAATGGTTCTCCAGATGGTAATGGGTCAATCAGTCCTGGCATTGTATTTGTTAGAGTGACAGCTTTGGCACCGTTTTCTAGAGCAGATTAAGCAAGGTCTTCAGATTTACCATAGTTTGGAGTAATTTTTACAATAACTGGTAAAGTAGTATTACTTGTGACCCACTTAGTGATATTACCAAGAATTATTGGATCCTCACCACATGCTCTTCCCATACCTTTTTCATTCATGCCATGAGGACATGATAAGTTTATCTCAAGAGCATCAAAACCTGCTGTGTTAGCAAGTTTGGTAAGCTCAATCCAGTCCTTCTCATTATAAGAAGCCATAATTGAACCAATCAAGATCTTTTCTGGAAAGTCCTTCTTGATATCCTTAGCTCCATCTATCCAATACTCAGGGGTTTTTTCAGTAATAAGCTCTATATTTCCAAATGATGGCTCTAGTTTTAGAGCATCAGTTCCAACCTTATAGATTCTTGGTGAGACATTTGAAACGGCATCTTTCTCCAGCTAGAATGTCTTAACTACAGCAAAATCAAAGCCAACTTCAAAAGCTCTTCTTATCATTGGATATGAGGTTGTTGGTGGGGCTGATGCAAGACCGTAAGGGTTCTTCATTTTCAATCCAACGATTTCTGTAGAAATATCTACAAGATCAATAGCTGTATGGAACCCTGGCAACCTTGGTGTCTCTGACACTTTGTGACCATTAGACTCTTAGATATGTTTGTGGATATACCATGAAGCAGTTTTACCATCATTTACTGCATCAACCAAATTCTTTGTTCCAACAGCATCTCCTCCAACGAAAAGCCAATCATAAGCCTTTGTTTATCCAGTCTCTGAATGATGGTTAATAAGATTGTCACTTTTCTTTATTCTCTTTACCCAATCCTCATCTGGTAATTAGCAACCAAAGGACTAAATAACATAGTCAACTGGCATTTAGAACTTCTGGTTTGTTTTATTGTATTTTAAATTATTTGGATCTGTATTTTATGGAAGGTTTTTGTCAAATTCTACAGCAGTAACATTACCTTGAGCGTCTAGTACATACTCAAGAGGGGCAGAGTATGGTAAGAAGTTGATACCTTCATAACGACCTGGTTCAAAGATTTCATCATTAGCTCTGATGTCTTAGAAGCCTCTTCTAAAAGCTACTGTAACTCTCTCTGCACCTCTTCTAAAAGCTGATCTAGCACAATCTAGAGCAGTATCACCTATTCCTAGTATTAATGCATGACCCTTAAGCCTTGGGGCCTCCTTCTCTCCTACATTCTTTACATCCTTCATGACTGTCTTCAAGAACCTCTTGGATGTGAAGAAATTATTGGCATTTTGAGCCTATTAAATACTTTTGTGTAGAGTTGGGTCACTCTTTCCCATATTTGGATCTTATAATCCAATACCTAAAAATATTGCTTCGTATCCTTACTATCTCAAATCTTCTAAAGTAAAATCGGTACCAAGCTTTTTATTATAATGAATTTTTACGCCTAGTTACTTGACCATCTCGACTTCCCAGAGAGCTTCACTGATTGGAGCTCTATTTTGTGGTATTTCCTGTGCTACAATACCACCTCCAAATGATTCTTTCTCAAAAATATGAATATTTTCGTATCCCATTCTTCCCAAGAAACTGGCACAGCTAAGAGAGGCGGGACCAGCACCAATCAAAGCTATCGGTTTCTTGTAGGAAGGTGGAAGTTACTTTGGTAATGATGGATCTTTAACTTACTTTACGCCCATCTCTTTGAAGATTCTCACAGCTAGCTCTTGCAATCTGTTGATCTTAATGGCGCCTTGTTCAGTTTCGCTGACATTACAGTTTCTTGCGCAAAGCTCACTAATTGGACACAACTAACCACAGGTGAGTCCTAGAGGGTTGTCTGATAGAATAACTTTGGCAGCACCGTACCAGTTTTTATTTTGAATGTTATAGATGAAGGATTTGATATCAATTGTGGTTGAGCACCCTTGTTGGCAAGGTGCATCATTACACTTTAAACATCTGTAAGCTTCTCTGATAGCTTCTTAAATAGTCATGAGTGGGATATCTCTCTCCCAATTATCTTCCTTTGAACATCCTTGACAGTGAGGGGTTCTATCAAACTATTCGGAGTACTATTCTCTCACCTTGGTATTTCTCAGAGTTGGTTGAGAGATGGAGGTTGGCATTCCACACATTACATCTTTTTATTGGTATTCAGTAAATTTGGTAAGTTCTTTTTTCTTTGTTCCACATCCACTACCACAAGCGAAGTTTACTTGAGCTGTTCTGACGAGTTACTTGATGTTTTATTGTTTCGATTGATTTCGTAGAGTATTTAGAATCTTTTTGCTTAACATATGTTTCAAATAATATTAATAAATCTTAAAATCTCAATTCAAATCTATTCATATCCTTTTTCTGAGTGACTTATACAGAAACTGAAATAGTAGATATATATAGATGTAAAAAACACTCCAAAAAATTTAGAGTCATCTAGCTGATCTTCAGAGAACACTTTGAAAGTGGAAAATAGGCTAAAACCTCTAACCCTATTTCTAAAAATATTTCCATTTCTATCCCATTGCTTTTCAGAATTTGAATTCTTTCTCTATTTGGCATCTCGGGGTTTTGGGGTTTTGGGG